AATGTGACTTGCAGATATATTCTACATAAATGAAATATATTCAAGTAGATGACTGTTAATTGCAGCCTTTGTTATAACAGTAAAAGACTGGGAATAAATAACTAGACAATCTAACAGTAGCTGACTAGCTAAAAACATGGCATAGATGTGCAGAGGGGTATTATAAGATCACTTAAATTACATTATTTTAAATTGATTTACAACACTATATAATTTGGAGGGTGTAGATTCACACCTCTTCCGATGACTGTTATTGTGCCCGTCATCAGTGCATTCTCAGCCTTGCAGCATCATCCACTAGGCTCCCGTCCCTTTTAGTATCCATTCCCACTCTGGTAGCCTCAATTCTACAGTCTGATTTCTAGGTTTGGTTTTAGTTCAGTATTGTCTATTCCTTTGAAAAAGTATACACGAAACACAAAAAAGCATGAGGTAATCTGTATGGGATGAGCTGAAGACATATAGTGGTAAGTAGGAATTAAATGGAAAGTCTATAGAATTATATCACTTGTATATAAAAGCCATAATAGTTACATATATTGTTTTTGTTTACATATATTTGTTGTCTTATATGTGCATGAAAGCTGGCAAGTCACTTGTATGTGAAATAATTTATATATATATAAATATATATGAATGTATAGATATATATACACACATGCATGCATGTGTTTATATATATTATGTGTAAGTAAATATACAGGATAATATGTATAGATACATATGTATGTAAAATGTAATAAATGCAGAGCTGAAAACAGTGTCAGTGCTTAATACATTTGATTTTTTGATGAGTGTGTGTTGTATCAAGGAGAGATGCAGATGTGATTGATTAGACTCCAGTAATTTAAATTAAGTGGTTTCAGCTTAATACAGCACATTCTCATTCCAAGGACCAAGCAGAAGCTCACTACACATCATCTGTATGGCAACAGAGCTGCTTCTAATCACTATGGCAACACAGTTCACTCTCAGCACACCCACAGCTGTAGATGTAGGTTTACTGATAAGATTCCTTGCTGCCTGCTTTTGTCATGTAATCCTTCAGTCTGTGATTCTTACACACAGGTATTTATGATCAATATTCTGTATTTTCCAAGTCTCTCTAATCAAACTTTTTTTTTTAAATAACTTGAAATAATGACTAAAAGGGGTGAAGGAAGAATAAAATAATTAGAAAATGGATATTGAACAAGCAAGATCAGAAAAAGTGATTGTTGGAAATTAAGTACAGCAAATTAAAAAAAATTAGATCTATTTGTATCAAGCATCTAGTCTTAAGGCAAAGGCAGTATTAGGAAAAAAATGGGGAAATTTCAGTGTGTCAGGAAGTTGAATGCAGGCTCTGAAAATCTAAAGACAAAATGGTAGAACTAGTAAGGGAAAGCCAGGAAACCACAACCTTAATGTTTTGAACACACCTCATACAATTACCTATTTTATAAAAAATAAGAGTAAATTTGATTTTAATAATTCAACAAACAGTATAGACTGATTGGCATATTTAGACTCCTACACCCATGAAATGGAAAACAAAATGCTTCTCATGGTATGAATAGCAGATTAAAAAAGGATGCTCTGCAGAAGCCCTAACCCAGAAGCCTTTGCATGACCTGCCTCGCTAATAAAAATAGATGTCACTGAGTGAGTTTTTACCATGTTCGAAGCAATGTGCTATACAGTTATGGGGATGATATAATTCTCTAAATGACACTCAGAGTAGTGTTGTATTATTCCTCCCATTAATCTAGCAGTTTTCCATGATTCTTTACAGATCAGACAATGAGGCAGGGAAAAAGTCAAGTAATTTGCTCAGCCAGGCCTATATCCAAAAAGTTGTGGAGCCAGGATTTCAGTCCGTCTTGTTGGATTCTGGATTTGACTGTCTTCACCCTCCCATTCTGCCTGCCCTTTTTACCTAGGGGTGGGGAGGGATAGCATTGACTACAAAGAGTTGCTTGGAGGGTGAGTGGTATAGTGGTGAGCATAGCTGCCTTCCAAAAAGCTGCTTGGAGAACAGTACATATTCTTTTATCATAGATGGACCCGCCACAGGAAAACAAAAAAAGACTGGGAGATCCTCTCAATCTTAAATGCCTATTAATATGCCACTGAACAAGGGGCCAGTTGTCCTACTACTGCAGTCCCCCAGCACCTCAAATTTGTACACCAGCACTGCTTCTTTGCTTCCTGGGATAGAGTCTCCTTTTCTTTTCTTCTTCCAACATCATCTCCAAAATGGTTAACAAGGGATGAAAGCGGATGATTTGGGCCTAAGGGACCAAGAGAAGTATAAATATGCCAGAATTTTATTTCAGGATATTTTCGTTAGTGAAAAAGAGAAGTCCAGAAAGGTAGGTTACACAAGACCCAAGTCTGACTCCAAGCAAAGGAGATAAACAAGGTAGAAAGAAGCATTCTTAGACTTCTATTTGGTCTAGCAGAGTCTCAACAAAACTGACAATAAGTACTTAAGCTTCCAACACTGGAATTCCTTTTCTCAGAAGTAGGTTCATCAATAGTCATTAGCTGGCAGTAGCTGATGGGAAGGATGCCTTGACATTAATGTAGGAAGGGATTTATAGCACAGCATTTGGGACCTTTGGTCAACTAAGCTCCCTGTAGTTAGAAATATCCCAGATGCTTGACCCATTGAAAGAGCCAGAAGGTCTTGAACGTGCTATTTGTGCCGCTCTCCATGGTGCTGGGTATATAATGAAAACTTAACCATGACCTACCATGGAGGCACAGAGATTGTTAATAGAGCTTTCCTTCAGGGCTTTGTTTAGTCAGGCAACTAGTATAAAGCCAGATGTTTCTCTGAGACTCTTAGCAATAAAAGCAGGTGCTCAAAGTAAGGGCCGTATAGCAGTCTTAGGCAATTGGGATAGATCTCAAGAAGAGGCACTTGAGCTGTCTCTAGACATTATACAGATTTTCTCATAAGTTATAATCCTCATAACTGGAAGTGTTTTCTGCTGCTGATGTACTGTATATGTATATGTGTGCCCTTTATCCACATTGGTACCAAAGAAAGGCAGAAGTACCTCTCGACTCTGCTTGGGAAGGGTAAAGCCATTTTAAGGTTAGATACATGGGAACTTGGAAGGTAACATCATCTCTTTGTTGTACTGACTTGAGAAACTTAAGTGCCTTAGAGCCCAGTTTACTCATATAAGTAAATGGAAATATCAACACTTCATTCACAGAGTTGTTGGTATAAAGAGAAGTGGTAGAAATCTAGATCCAGGGTAACGGAAAAATTATTGAGTGCTTTGGGACCTCTTATAAGCTTGATTCTGATACTAAAAGATCTGTGCTCCACCAATATTTTTAGGTGAACTTTATGAACTTCTTACCCCTACATCAGTAATGATTTAGGCATGAGGCATATTAGCCCAATGGCCCCAAATTTTAAAGAGACAGGCAATTTCTATATAATTCATTTTAGAAAAAAACATGAATGTTGGAACTGTTTATTACAAATCTTACTGATTTTCTGAAAAATTACAAAAAACCTGTATTATTTAGTATACTTAAGTAAATAAACCAAGATGTGGCAAAATGTTTTTGGAAAAATAGACAAATGAAAACAGTGTATGAACTCAATATTAAAGAGAGGGTAAACTTAATTTATTGTGGTGAAATAGAATTCAGAATCTTGGCAACGGTGGGGATAGATTGGTGGAAGGGAGCATAAAATTACATACTTGGCTGATGGAAACGTTTTGTACCTTGTGTGGGTATTGGCCGCATAGGTCTGGAAGCAGTCACAAAAGACAAGTGTACTTTTCTTCCCAACTCCACATTCCATAAGATACTGGCGACTTGAAAATGGATATAGTAAGATTATTTGCACCAGACAGTACAAAACAGTGATTTTATTTATTTTTTTATCGAGAGAGTGGGTTTATCAGCACATTACTGCACAGCTCTCATTAAGTTTATGTAGTGTTCACATCTAGATTCATCACTTTTCATTAATTTTAATAAAAATAAGGCTAACATTACTTCTACTTAAACTACATCCCTTTTGACATTACTATACACCAAGATCCACGTCACTGTAACAGGCAAATCATGTAAATCCCAAAAGGAGAGCCTTTTCACCTAATGTTCATTGTCAAAAAAAGTCAAAGGTAGACAAACCATTTGGATCCATTCACCTCAAATGGACTCCTCGGGTGGTGGCCCTGCTGGCTTTTTCTTTCCCTTTGTAGGCATGGACGTACTGATGTGACACCATGTTACTTGCCCAATCCAACCTCTTGGCCTTCCTGGACTCGCCAAATGGACTCCAGTGGTACTTTCTTCCATCAAGACGGTAAACCCCCCCCACCATGAAAACTTAAACAGGATTCTGAAGCCCTACACCCTGTCGATCATGACATGCTTGAACTGAAAGTCATTGAACCCCAAATTTCCCCCTTCAGTAGACCTGTTTAGATGGAATCTAAGAGAACCACCAATTAATGGCACCTCACCATTGAGTATGGAAACCTCAGTGCCCAGGTTTCTCCAACTAAAGTGCCTGCTTAAAATATTACACAATTGACTTAACAACAGCAGCCTAGAGTATCCTTCATGGTCATTGCCCTAGGTAAAATATTCTGTTGTAATGCCATCCTGGATAAATCCTAGACCTAATTTGTTTTCACTTTTGAAAAGCTCCCCATAAGGTGTGCATCTCTCAATGAGATGTTTCAACACCCGGCAAGTGCACACAGCCTCTGCTACAAGATTTAAATCATTTAAATGGAGAAAAATGCCATTTTGAGTATCATATTGATGACTGTGCAGAGGTATCCTCTGAGGAAGCAGTAAGGGCAGACTTGCACACTGCCATGACACACCAGCAATGTGGTTGAGCAGTCATCCCTCAACTTTGGATGTGTTCTTCGGGGAAGGAAAGGACAAGCTGCATCTGTTGATTTCTGGGTATTATTTAGTCCTTTAAGAGCTAAGAAATTTCCCCATCAGCCAAACATCAATCACTTAACCATTAAACCACCCATACTCAGGTCTGACACATTCCAGATAGTTCATATTCTAGAAGCAACACACCCCTTAGCTCTTACTAATTATTCACTTCATATGTTCTACTTTCTGCTGAGATGAAGTCCTGCGGTGCCTTTGGAGCTGCCCAACTAGAGGTCAACAACCCTTTTCTTTAGTCCCACCTAGCTCCACGTTCCACATTTGGTCATTTCTGGTGACATGATCAGTGATCCCCTCAACATCTAGTTCTCCCCCAAAGTCAAGTGTCCATCAAGTTAGTGTAGCATAATTCCTTTGGAATCCCTGGCAGTGTTAAATCTCTAACCATCTCCATGTAAATCACTTCTCCAAGTATAGTGGCTGCAAAGGCTGACTAATAAAGCGAAATTCTCCTGCTTATAGGAAATGGAAATCACTGCCCCAGAACCAATTGGTGACAAGTCTGGATGCCTGAAGCAGAAAAAGAAACTAGCAGCTTGGAGCCACATTCTGAGATGCCAGCATGACAAGAAAACTTCAAGTTATGCTGTTATCTGAAGATAAAGGAGGTAACTGAGGGCTTTCTTCCTAAGAACAGCCACACTCATCTATTAAACTATATGCAAGTAATGTGACAGAAGTAGCCTGATCCGAGTCATCAAATGGTAGTGTTCCATTTGTTTATGGCCAGTCTTGCTCCTCTGTACAATATGGGTCATAAAGTTGGGTAGACCTGCAAGGTCTAAGCGCACAGACCAAATGCTGAAACAAGTGCTGACTACAGTTATAGAGCAAGAATACCCAAGGGCCCTATTGGAAGGACACGATCCAGTGTGTCATGAATCTGGAGGCAAAAAATTGGATGCTATTACAACCAACACTCTGGAACAATGTCTAGATGATACTTTGATTTCTGTACATCAAATATTGATACAAGCTAACCTTCTGATGATTGCCCACCATAAAACCTATCGTTCCGGGGACACTCACCTTGATTTACCTAAAGTCTTCATGGGAAGATCCTAGAAAGACTAAATAGGATTCATACAATCTCACTGAGGTGGCATTCTGTTTGCCCAGAAGCTTTATGTACTTCAGATGAGTTCCTTGGGAATAAAGGGATACTGGCCTTTCCATTGATGAATATGCCCCTGGCAATTCCAGAAGATCAAATTTTGGAAGAGCAAAACAATTTTCTCCACTAGTAGTATGAGCAGATATGGAGATCAGCCTTGAGGAAACTTTCCAAGTTATATCGGGCTAGATTCCCCCAGCCTGTGACCAGTACCCCTGTGGATACCCACTAGGAGGGCCTCTGGGTGGCCACTCCACCCCCTAGTGATATGAACACATGGCTGTATAGGACACAATCTCAGATGAGATCCCCACAGTCCAGGCAATGCCCTCTACTCCTGTAGCACAGAGAACAGTCCAGGGACAGGTCAGTGATCACTTTGGAGACCTGGATGTTCTCCAGGATTACAGTGGGCTTAGAAGGCCATAGTGGGAACTTTCTGTGAACAGTGGACTAAACATATTGCCTGTAGGAATAAGCAGATGACTCATTGGAATATTATTTTGTAGAATCTTCCTGGTGTTTTCCTGTTGACCCATCCTAGACCAAGAGTCCTGTCAGACTTGTGAGTATGCCTTCTGCTAACTTCAAAGCACATTGAATCACTTTTCTGAAATGTGCGCTCAGAACTAGACAGCTAGTCACGTACCCCTTGATCTTCTGCTTCAGTGTTCTTACGTGAGCATCCCTGTCCCGTAACTTCTGGTCACTACAAGCCCTGATGCTACCATTTCCCTGGCACTACCATAACCTCTTCCTCCATACTTCCCCATACTCTTTCCATGACTCCAGCAATTTGTTGGACTTGTTTGAGTTGTGCCTTGCAGTCAAAATAACAACCACAGGGGTATATTCAGCCACAACAGTGATTCTGGTCTGTGGAGACTTTTTACAAGCAGAACGGCGTTGGCTGAGCATCACAGGTGTTTCCAGTTGGCTGCATTGCAAAACCGGGAGAGAGGACATCAAGGTGTAAGATGAGGTCAGAATGAAGATGAGTCAGGATAATCCTCATAACAGTGGCGCCTATGAAACAGCCTTTGGAGATTAGACTTGGGTTCAAATGTAAATATATCTATAAATAATTTCATAAGGTGTGATTTATGGCGAGATGATAAATTATTGGAGAAAAGGCACAGGGGCTGCAGCGCTCCCAGACCACGTACCTCACGCGCACGCACCCACACTGCCCCTGTCCTTCATTTCCTTCCAGCTATTCCCTGGTATCTTTCCTTCCATTTAAAATTCACTTCTAGAACCTCACTTACCTTTTTCTTATACTTAACCATTATTACCAGAACTGCAGCTTTGTTACTGTATTATGTTCAACCGCATGCACCATCTACCGCTGCATGGTACTCGATTCTCTCTGGCTTTCACATTTCACATCAGCTTTTCTTAGTTCCCCCGCGAATCTTCTGGATCACTGTATTGTCATAGTCCTGTCTTCCACAGTGTGCCGCCTATGGCTGCTTTCCAAACTTTCGTGCATGGCTCTCTCCTCATCGTGTACTCAGACTTCACCATCTTGGTTCCATCCAGAGTTTCAGCCACTGTCTGTGTGTTAACTCCCACGTGCTCTCCAGTCACTCCTGGAACTAAACCCATAGCCAATATAGGAGTGGCTTCTAGACCACCCACAGTTCTTTACAGTATGAAGTTACAAATCAATGCATCTACTTGTGTGACTTTATTTCCTAGGTGTGGTAGAATATCAGAACCTGAACACATATTGCCTGTGTCCACATCACTACCTTCCTGAGTTTCCTTTTCTAGTTAGGATGTCAGTGCCTGCCCACTCACGCAAGCTGGGACACTGGCCCTACTCACCGATGCACCTCTCTATGTCTCTCTGCTAGTCCTTATTCCTTTAAATCTCAAAATCTATCACTTTTCTCCATCTCACTATGTTAGCCAGATTTAGTCTTTACTAAACTACTAGAACAGTTTCCACTGGGAACTGAAAAAAAAATTCTCTATGTTTTTTCACCCTTGTAGTCATATATTTCCGTTCATTTTCTTTTCAGACTTCACGTTTCACTCTTTGAAGTCAGAATTTTGACCTTTTCTTCAAAGTAAGTGACTCGTTCTTACGAGTGGTCTGACCCCCATTGTGCTAATAAGAGAAGGGGAGGGGAGCAAATGTAAAACACCCAGATAAAGATGCCAGCATTCGATCAATTCACATATCTTTTCTCTGTTCGGCCCTCCACTCTCACACCTCTTACACAGAGAAGTAGGGACTGGAATTCTATTCCCTATCTTTTCTTCTGGAACACTACTTGTTTTCCTTACAGACAAATAATCAGTATCAGTAGGATTCTGTAATTCCTGTGGGCCACTAACTGTTGTATGTCTTCCTTTGCCTTTACCATTAAGAGTTTTCATTATGATTATTCTTTCCCTTTCTCCAGTTGACTACTTGGTGTTGGGAGAAAATAACTCATTTTAGCACTCCTGTCCTTGACCATGAAGAATCACATCAGGACTTCAATATCATTCAAAATCCTGAACTTAGAACAGACTCAATATCTAGATGAATTTTGGGTTGTCTCTCTTAAGAACAAGCGTGTGTTCAACATGTGAAAAGAAGAGTAAAGTGAACACTTGATGGATAAAAAGACTAATTTGGAAGAGAACATGTATCTTCATGAAGTCTTAATTTCCCTGGACTCATTGTTGACTTGTATACCCATTCACAGTTGCACTTAGTTGAGTCCATGGGGTTGAATTCCAACTAATGGAGTGTAGGCAGAAGTAAGAACCCCACTGTCAAGTCTGCAGGGATCGATTGTGAGGAGCTGAGGCAGAACTCAGTTGCCTGAATCTTTGAAGCAAAGACTCTCAGTTACACTAACCAGTACTGAACTTTGAATAATCAAGAACAATATTATATGATATAGGAGATGGCATGTCATGGCAGGACATGACAGTTTGATGCACAGTATAAAAGTAAGTCATGGAGATTTGATGATTCTTGGTCAGTGCAGATAGTGCTAATTTTTCTGAGCAACCCAGAAGAGAGACATCTCTGAGGACATGGTAGTTTTAGAGGAGAAAAATTCCATGTAAATACCTGTGAACCAAGCAATCAGGCAGAAAGAACAACACATGCAAAAACTGTAGTCTGGGAGCATGTGTTTAAGAGTCAGAAAGAAAGGAGTACAATTCATTTCTAGTGAAGGAGGAGGAAGAAGACAGGAACTGAAGGTTGAAGAGAGCAGTAGAGATCAGACTGTACCGGCACTAGTGTAGAGTAGAGGTCGTGGTGGAGAGTTTAAATTTCACTCTAATTGGGATGGGAAATCATTGGGAAATTTGAAACACATAAAAGACATGGCCTTATTATGACATATGCTTTTAAACCATAATTTGGACCACTCTTTATAATGCTCAAGAAGAGAAGCAGAGAGACAAGTAAGGAAATAGTGGCAACCTTCCAGGCAAACCAGTTTTGGTGGAAGGGGAGAATATGGGTGCATTTCACTGAGTCATTTAGTGAGTAAGTCTAGGGAAACCTATGGATCACACATTCATTTAATTTTCATCGAAATACATAGTGTAAATAATACATCAGCCAACTGTAGGAGTCGTGATTTCTTTTAAATGTTTGCAGTGCATGCAGGTAGAGTGCAGCACGCGCTGATTTTCAGCTTTCTAGATACCTTGCTGTGCCATTAGTGATTCAAATTCTTCCCAGTAACAGCGACTACAACAAGCTGATGGTTTCCCCAGTGACCACCAGCTGGCGCCAGTAGACAACACTCCCTGGAAAGGGAACACAAACAGGAGGAAGTCAGTGCAGGTGAACAGACCTAATAAATCTCACCCGAGATCTGACATGTAGAAATCCTGTGCTGTCCTTTGCTGGGAATGGAAAGCAGCCCCAGCAACTTGACACAAAATAAACAGGTTCACAGCCTAAGAGGCTTGTCTGTAGGGTGCTTCAGACCTGGAATGAAATAAGATCTTCCTGAAATGGGAGAAACCACATTTTAGGATGCAGAGTAGTGATGTGTATGGGTGAGAAGTATGTACTCTTACCTTTGAGCTTCAGCCAGACAGTGAGGAGACTCAGTTCCTTCTTTTTCATGAGGTAGAGTGAAGGGTATAAGTAAGGGCTTGCTGTAAACCATCCACGTGACTTGAAAAATCTTTTGTGAGGTGTTATTTTGCACATATTCCTTGTGCTATTCATGTGGTACTTGTCGAGTTGTAAAACAATTTTTGAATATTCTGGGTGCAATTTATTTGTCAGATATGTGAAGTACATCTATTCATAAAGAACAGACATTGATGGAACGGAACAGAGAACTCAGAAATACTGTAACTCAAGAAATACTATCATAAATATATTCAGTTGATTTTTCACAAAGGTCCAATTTATTTCTGTGTTGAAAAGATTATTCTTTCTCCACAGACAAAAAGTGAACTTTTACACTGACCTTACCCGAAAGTTAACTCGGAATATACCACAGAATTAACTATAAAATGCCAAATGGTACAGCTTTTTAGAAAAAAAAAATTTCATGTCCTTATTCATAGCTACTTAGAAGTAACAAAATGCATAATTTGTGAAAAACTGATGAATTTTGTTTTATTAAAATCTGTCTCTGCTGATGGAAAGACGAATAATCAATCACAGCCCCGGGGCGTACATTTGTACCTCATATTGGCTCAAGCTGAATCCACTCTCAGTAAGTGACAGCAGAGAACTCTCATTGGGAGACTGATTGGCAATTAGCCTTCACCTCTTAAACAGAAAAGGGCAGATAGAACTTTCAGAATCTGTAAGAAGTAGAGGAACAGTCTAGTGGATAGATAGATAGATAGATAGATAGATAGATAGATAGATAGATAGATAGATAGATAGATAGATAGATAGATAGATAGATAGATAGATA